ATGTAAAATCTGACCATTTACCTTGACCACTTGAATAACACTTATTACAAATAAATACCTTTTAGTCTTTTTATAATATTTTTTTTCTAACCTCTTCACTGAATAAACCCTCCCAGGAAAAACTAGATCCTTCTAAAATCAATTTTCACTAATAATCTTTAAAAGGGCAAAACAGTATAAAGAAATTCTAAATGAGAAGTTCAGTAAGCAGGCTTGTATGGCTCCAACAGACGGAAATCTATTAATAAGAAATCCACATACCACAGTAAATGTCTTCAACTGCTTATCAGGCCCATTGTCACCTTATGCTAAGCGTAAACTTAATTCTTCATATCCTCCACCAACATATACAATATTCGCCTCAAACAAAACAAAGACTTTTGACTTTCTCATTTCTATCACGGCATCAAAGTTATCTGCCATAGCATTATCATGTATCAGTCACTTACAGGAGAAACCTCAGAGTTCAGGCTCTCATTTGCTGCTGCCTGGGTTTCTTCAACAGCCTCCTAATGTCTCCCCATTTCTAATCTATCCCCACTTGAATCCAAATAGCATCAGCCTGCTAGCCTGCTTAAATACCACTTTAACCACATTACAGCTCAGTTCAAGAATCTTTGATTGAATTTTATACTATGAGCAGTGGAAAGCAAACTCTTTATAATAGCATTCAAAGCCTTTTTCTAATCTTACCTTCTGCTTCTGCTCAGTGTGAGCTCTGCAATGTATCAATAACTCCGATTAATGACTTGCTCAAGCTGTCTTCCCACCCTTTCTTGTCAATGCAAATTCATCTTCCCAGTACACTCAACTAAAACGCTAATATGGTTTTTAATAACCATTATGGTTTTCAGTAACCATTACAGCTGTAAATAAACACTTTTCCTTTTGAATTTCTACAACACACATATTGTCTGATCCATTGAGTAAGCCCTAAGTCATACTGTCTCCTACTGTCAAGCAATTGTATACTTATGATCTAATTTCATTAAATAAATGTAATTTCCTTGTGGACCCTTATATTTGTTGTATTTCTCACAGTTCCAGATAGGTAGAAGGTAAAGGCCCAATTAATATCTGGTGAACAACAAATGATCTGCATGTTTAGTTTTTGTGCAAAGCCAAATATATATGTATATAGTCATATATATTGCCATATACATGTATATAAATTTCTATGTACCTCTAAGGCTTTTCTCTAACAAAATGAATATTATTTTATATAGGTTCATGCATTGGGGGTCTCCAAGACCACACCCAGGTTTGGTGATTCATTAGAACTCACAGGACTCAGCATATAATTATACTCATGGCTAAGATTCATTACAGCAAGAGGATACAAAACAGAATCAGCACACATTTAACTTCTCCAGCATCAAATTGTGATAACATGTGCTGTCTAGCAGGGAAACTCACTAGAAACCCAGCACCCAAGGTTTTTACTAGGGCTGGTCATGTAGGCACCCCCTGCGGAGCATGGGCCAAAATTTCAGACTTTCAGAAGGTGTTTAGCGTAAATCAGTTTGTACAAACAGTCTAGGAACAGTGAGCCACTCTTATCATTTAGGTAAAGTTTTATATCATATATGGAACCATTTATCATTCAAGTTCCCATATGGCAGCCAAGGGCCAACCTTGTAAGTAGGCCTTTCTGAGCACAGCATGTCACTCCATAAATTAATATTACTACTTTAGAGACAGAAATGATCTCAGGAGTTTTGCAGGGCTTTGCCCTGAAGAAATACGTGAGCATGTTAGTTTGTATATCAAAAGCTGCTTCACCTCAGTAGGGCATCTCAAAGGTCAGTGGCAGCTGCTTTCCAAGGTGACACTGCAGTCTTAAACCTGTGGTTCTCGCCTGCTTTGAAGGACAAAGTGAGGTCGGCATGGAACCACGGGATGAGAGCTGATCAAAGAATGTCCGCCCGAGAGACAGATAACTGGGGCTAAAAACAATTAGCCCAAGGGACAGTTTCTACTTGACTTCTGATCACCTGTCTCTATCTGCAATAACTAAATAAAGAAATATGGAGCCACTGTATCTCTGTTTAACCCTTCCGTTAAGTGATAGCTTTATCTTAGAACTTCGAAGTTTGTCCTTGAAAGATTTTGTAACCAGAGTTAATTAAGGGATCTACAGAAGCCTTCTGAAAGACTTTTAACCTGAAACAAACTACCTGTTATTATGTAAATCTGTTACCCCTGGCAACTGATCTCTGTACTTATAAATACCCATGTGAAACTTTATTCTGGGCCTCACCATTGATGGGGATATTCTTGAGGACCCGTGAGTACCCCTTCTTTGCCTTTTGTCTCTATAAATCTGTAAAACCATACCTTCGTCCTGTGTATTCTTTTATTTCTATTATTTTCCATTTTCTATTATTTTCTTATCCTTTGTGATGACCCCTGCCTAGGGGACCCGATTTTTTGCTGGGAGCGTAGCTAACTCCCCGCAGCAGCAGTCTTGGGCCTGTTAACTCTTTTCTATGTAATTCATTTCATATTTTTATGGAAGAAATGTTACAGTGTTAACTATATCTTATTTATAATGGGCACATAAAGTGATTTAAACAAAATTAAAATTTAGCATTTAATTAGAGATACACTGCCTAGATTGGTACCCATTAATTAAAAGTTACGTAATTTTGAAGTAATTCACTTCTTTGGGTATTTCCAGTTCTTTTTTCTTTCTTTCCTTGTAAAATGAGCTATCTTTCTCAAACCAACACTTTTGTGGTTGTCAGGAGAAAGGAATTAAGTACAATATCTAAAGCAAAATGGCCTTCTTGGACAAGTTCCCTGACAAGTGGGTGCCAAAACACTGTTTGCTGTTTCAGGTACATCATCCTACTAAATCCTCACAACAACCTGGTATGTCAGTGACGGTTACTATATTAAGATGGAAGCTTTGAGAGGCTAAGTAACCCATCCAGGTCTACCACAGTGGAACTGGGATTTTGGCTTAGACTCACCTCATTCCAAACCCTTGCTCTTAGCTTTTTGCCAATTATCTCTACCTAACTTCAAAGGCATAGGCTCCTTATTATGAATCATTTCTCTTAAACTATGTGACTTTTTTGTTTGACAATACAGAGCACTGTTCTTTAACCTTATTTGCCTTGACTAAAGTCAGATTTTAATTGGAACAGAGGGCTAAGTTTAACCCAGCATATTAGACTTTTTCACTTCCAAGTCCTGCAGAGTACAAATCAAATTATACCTTTTGCTTGCTAAAACCATTAGGAAGCTCCCTACTCAGAAACTCTTCTGTACTGCACACAGCTTCTTCCTTTATCTGGCATCAGCCTGTTTGAAGTCAGACAGATTTGTGTCAGAATCTTGGCACTGCACTTACCAGTTTGGGAAAATTAATTATGCTTTTGGAGCCTCAGTTTATTTACCCACGAAAGGGAGACCCCTATCTCATAGACTTGCTGAGAAAATTCAAAAGATAATATGTTTAAAAGGCCCAGCCGGCACAAGTTTGCTGAATAAATAACTGCCTGCAAGGACAGGATAACTGATTTGTGAGAAGTAAGCCAAATCACTATTCTGAGAAAGCAGGTAGTAGACAAGCGCCCTCACCACCAGGTGTCACCACTGGCTCAGGAGCGCACGTCTAACTGCCCGAAACGGGGGTGGATCCCCGCAGCAAGCCAGTCTAGGCCTCAGGGTAAGACTGGCACCTGCATCTACAGGACATTCACCAGTTGGCTTTGGCTTTTCAACCTCTTAAGAGCTAGTCTAATATATTTTGCACCATTCTAGGTTACATTGTTCTCTTACAGGACAATGTGTAAAAAATTATTGTAGTACAATTAATTAGCTAAATATCCATAGGTGTGTCATCAGAGTTTAATTTTAAAAACTATGCTCGGCGCACTATTTTTTAATTTTGAGAATCAATAGCGCTTCATATATCCTTTGGTTTAGCCAACTAGACATTTTCTGGCTTCCACAGGCTTCAATATTACCACAACGGACAATTTTTCTGACCCCAATTCCGCAACCCATTGACATTATTTCCTTTACATTATTAATGGGATGACAGATAAAAGGAAAGCTGAATATTTTTAGGGCAAATATAAAGTCTATAACTAGTATATAAAGGCCAAACAAACATAACTATTAACCCTTCTCCTTGATCTCAGGAATTCAAAAGTGCATTTAAAAAATTCTTTTCTATTTTCCTGAAAAGAAAAACACCTTAGGGTAATCTGTCAACCTGTGAATAGCTTTGAAATTACTCAAGGAACACGCCACACCGGCTTCATCCGGCAACCTGCTTAATGACTCTCCCTGGGAGTGCCCAGGGGCTTACTTCAAAACGTGGGCAGGGCTGGGCTCCCCCTTCTGATTGTAAGTCCTCCATGCAGAGACCCACTAGTGTCACTTCAAGACGGGTAACACTGTGTATTAGCCAGTAACTCGAGACGCGGCTCCATGATGTGGCATGGACTGTTGACCCGTCTGCCAGGAATACGTAAGTCAAACCTGACCAGGCCCACCCCAGCCTCAGACTAGGCGTCCGAGTCCCCGTGTTTACCAGGGAGAAGGAGTTATGCTAAGCACAGGTTTCTGTTCAGAATGGGCGCTCCTGGAACTCAAGCAGTTTGGGTGGAACAGCTCAAGTTCCACTTTGCATTTCGCAAATATGGAAATGTCTTAAGAGAAACCAGAAGCATCCTCTCCCTCTGGCCTTCGCTCCCATTCCTAGAGAATTTGAGAGGAGAGAGCAGATACTAGGAATCATCTGGAGTTTAGGTGCGCAAGAGCCAAAGCCAGACGAGATGAGCCCATTTGCGAAGCACTTTGCAGATCAATAAATTCCCAACTGATTTCAAACGGGTCCCTAGAGAAAGGCGAGCTCACGAGGCGGGCCGCCCTGCTGGAGCAAATGGGCCACGGGAAGAGATGCTGCCCAACAAGCACGCCCCGGCGGCGCAGGCGGGGGCCAGGCGGCTCGGGAGGAGCGGGCGGCGCGGAGGGCGAGTTACCTGGAGGACTCGGCCGTGAAGCTGCCGCCGTCCAGCAGCCGCATCTTGCAGAAGAGGACCCCATTGACGAAGGGCACCGAGGAGAGCTCCTCGAGCTCGAAGTCCACCTTAAACTTAAACTTCTTCTTCTTCATCATGATGAGAGCCAGGCGCCTGCGAGCGGGGCGCGCGGGCGGGCGCCGCAGCCTCAGCTCGGCCGAGCCCCGGATCCGCCCAG